ACAAAAGAAATAAGAAAATGACCTTTGTCCTCAAGAAGCTTACAAGAGTAACACAGATAACTAACTATAGTTATCATAAATGTGGCATATTAAGAGAGGTATACAAAACATTATGGAGAATTCCCTGAGGGACGTGGCAAAGGTTTTTTAAAAACTTTAAGAACCTCTTCTTTGAAAGCTGCCCTGGGCTTCCTTTCAGCAAATCACCAATCAGGAAGTAACACTCTCAAGTCTCTTAGATCAACAACCAGGAACTGATACTCAGGCCTCCTTCAGTTAGGGCATACCTACATGGAATGCCTCTCAGACTCGGAAAATATAAAAGTTCACCTCACATCCATGTCAATGTTGTTTGATAAAGCTGACAACATTTACAGTAAAATAAGGACTTGAAAAACTTTCAAATGGCTTTGACTTTCTTTCTCAGTAAAGAGGTGCTGCTTTTGCATGCTGGTTCTAAGAAAGGTTAAATTGGTGTCCAGTTAAATTATACTTATTAGTCCTCCCAAGTTAGTGATAGGAGAAAATTTTCTCAGACTCCTGTGAACTATCCAATATAAATTCCTGGGAGAAGAAAGCTTGATTCATACAAGAGAATGTTTATTCTCTCACTGATGTTTACTGAAATAGATCCAAGAGGCAAACCAACTAGTTATCACAGAACTCAATGTGCTTCGAATGTTAGTAGAATTGGGTTCATATTCTCAAATAACCATGAATTTCTCACTTCAAAGTAAACGACACACAACTAGATATTAAAATAACTCTCAGGGGTATCATGCTGTATTTGCATCATGAAATTTGCATCAAGTCAATGAAAATGAGTAGTTTGAATAATAAGATTATGAGTCATCAAAAAGTGACAATGTCTACAATTGCCGTACTTGCTAATTTAGTTGATGGGCAGGTGACCCGGCGATCTTAGAAATCATCCTTGGAATGACTCTGTAAAAGATTCGATGTCCCCTTTCTCCATTAATGATATACCACCTGGTATCTAGTTTATGATTTCATCAATTCATTTGGTTAAAATAGAGAGAGAGGGCTGTCCCCAGATCCACTTTTAAACTTGGATTTTAAAAAGGAAACTGGATTTCATAGTAAGATGATTCTGATAAGTTCTAATATCACAATCATTTTTTTCTTACATTACACATTACTGGATTCAGCATTTTATATCTTTTAACAGAAAGTGTGTAGAATTTCTCACAGAAATGGTTGGACATTGTACTTTTCAGTGTCATCACAAGAAAATCCCTCTTTACAATCTTGTA